ACTTTGTGATTTGCCGCTAAACTCAATAGCGTTCGTTAGGATCGTTAAGCTACTCATTCTGTAACAAGATTAGCAGCTTTAAAATACTGAAAAATGGCGCTATGTTCTGTCTTCATGGAACGACGGAGACTAACCGGATTTGTCTTAAAAGATCTAAATGAACTATGACATACCAACTGTTTAAAAGGAGGGAAGGAAAGGCAATAGACAGATAATTTTTTTCTTAATTCTTTTTAATAATTGTTTGCTTCTATTTCTCTTTCTGAGAATTGCAAAATGACAGAATGATCATAGGCATTAGAGAAAAACCTTAATTCCACTTAAGCTTCCGGTTTTCTAATTTTTTACTAGGCATAGGAAGGAGCATTGCAAAATAATTCTTTTAGCCATTCATTTATTTGCCTTTCTAAAATTCCAGACTCTGTAATGCAATTTGTGTTACAATAAGCTAAAAAAAACGAGATAAACGTAATGTAAATAGAGGTAACAAAGAGCTGATTAAAATATTTCAAGCGAAGGATACATTACACTAGATACTTTGTTCTTAAAAATTCGTCTTTTTTAAGCTTTCGCAATAAACAGAGGTATATTCACAGAGTTGTCGCAATCGTAAAGGGCCTCCGAATCATTAATTAATTTTTAAAAATAGAAAACTTAACGTTGTTTCTTAAGATGTTTAAGAAAAGCAATTAAAAGTTCAAGTGAGGAGTGTCCCTCACTTCATTAATCCGCTACTGGCAATAATGGTGAAAATAAATTGCTGCGTGAGTAAATGAAGTAGACAAATTTAGGCAATTAAAGTCATTTTTCTTATTAATCAATTTTTCTGTACATAATAAAACAGAAGATAAAAGGTAGAAGTTGGTTGGTTATGTATGTTTATAGATATGCGGAAGACAAAAAATATAAATATATATCTATATTTTCTCAACCGCGTGCATAGATATGTACTTCAAATTACAAAAATGTTTCAAATCACTACTTCATGTTTTCATATATTTTTATACTTTAAAATAATGATTTTGCATAAAATACGAAATCTAAATTTTTACGCTTTGCTCCGGTTCCCATGCTTACAGTTAGGAAAATTTTATACTCGTTGTTAAAAATAAAAGTTTGACTCCCATACGATAAAAATTGGCTGAGGTATTTGATATTAAAATACGGAAGCATGTTCAGAAGTACAAAATCGAAAAGCAAAATATTTGCATGTGTACGCAACAAAAAATAAAATGCCAATTTATGAAAAGATTTCTAATGTTAAGAGATTAAGTGACAAGCATTTCTGTACAGATTATTGTGAAAAGTATTGAGAATATAAATCTTATAGAGTTCGTGTTTTTGAAAAACTGGTAGGCTTCAGCATAGACGAGCAGCAAATTCGTGATGTTAAATATGCATTAATTAAAAATACTTGGAATTTAAAGATTTTCTGTACGATTACCAAATTACGATTCTTAAGTAATGAGATTCATAGGACTATTAGCAAAATATTTTTAGACTTTAAAATGTTATAAATTACTTGGTTCTTCTAGCATACAAACGTAAAAAGTTTTAAAATAAAGACGCTAATAAACAATATTATCGAATGGCATTTAAGGAGAAAATAATGCACTCGAATTATTCTAACTTATTTATTAACCGACCCTTCAATGCAAACTGAAAATTACAAATTACGTAAAAATATAAAATTTTGAAATTAAATATCTTGGTCAATTTTTGTCAGACATTAATCAGACTTTTTGTGTTTTATTTTTTAAAACGTGTACAAAACTTTTCTAACTACAAGTATAGGGACAGAAGAAACGTATTACACAACTGATTTCTTTAAATTTAGAAATACCAAAATATGAATATTTGCATCATTTAAAACCATATTTGTAACTGGAAGTATATGGCTACTGCCAACGGTTGCTAAAATAAAGGCAGGGTAAAGACTTTTGTGGACACCCTATGAATAAACAGAACATTAAATTTCTGTTTAGAATATGTAGAGGTTGATTAGTTACATAACCAACCTCCACATGTTTGAAAACAAGTAAATAAAAATTATGATTTATGTACAGGCATACTTTAATCTATTACTAAATCCGCCGAAAAGCATAATTTTTATTCGCTTTATGTGTAATCACATATTGTTTTAAAACTTAATTTGATAAATATTCATACTGATTTTATTTCTCATACTGATTTTAGAAATACTTTCAAGTTCTTCAGCTGAGCATTTCTAAAATCTGATTCCTACTCGGAACAAGACGGCCTACGAGGCTCGATCGCTTTCACTAAACTATCAGCCTTATAATGCTGCTAAATATACTCTTTCAATATTATGAGACAACGTTCCAACGAATTCCTCACCTCTTTTCGTGTGCTGTATTACACCTTTAGATTACTGCTTACCGAGTCCGCCTTGACTTCTCAGTAATTGATTACCCAATCACTTTCTACCTGGGCTCTAGACCCTCATTACTGGGTCTGGCTCTTTTCCCACTGTGTAACACTGGTGTAGGAAAAAGGGAGGGTGACACACGTTGTTTTATGTATATCTTCTTCCATTAAGAAAATTATTAATATCCTGCTGGGAGGTTGAATTTAGTTGGTAAAAATAACGCTTTGGAGGTGCCTACTTCACGTCAGCTGCACGTCCTTTGAATATTGAGCTGCACTGGGCAGTCACTTAAAGTTATTATTTTGGGGTTATGTCTGCATTATGGGCACGTACTACCTGAATTACTTCAGGAGAGTAAAGTATGTGACCGACCTATAAGATTCATTTTTTACATGCATTTTGCTATTAAAATAAATATAAAAAATGCCGTAAATTTTTCAAGACTTTTTAAACTTGGCTTCAAAATGTTTACACAAAGCGAAACTTTGCATGACAACTTTTAAATACATTAAGAAAGCAATAACGGGTGAGCAAAATGCAGGTTGTTAAGTGAGTTCGTTATTTGCTCTTTCTAAGCTGAAATTTTTACTCCTAACAAAACTGTAGAAAAAATATGAGTACTCTGTGTAGTTAATTGGGGTTTTACACAACAAAAAGTGCATTAATAAATCATTTGAAGCGTTTTAATCTTAAAAATTTTACTTTTTATTAAGACTATTTGTTGAAATGCAAAAATAGTCCCCGCGTGTGTAAAAGTAATCTTGAATGCCATATTTTAAGGTTCATGTTACTAAGCTAAAAGTACTCTGAAAATATCTTTTAAAAGCCATTTTTTTCCCTTTCCCTGAAACAGCGAAAAGATAAGTAAAAAGAATGAAACAGCTGTATGTATAAAGTAAATTACAATGCGAATTTTTATCTTTTGAAATTAATATATATATATATGCACCATTTTGTGGCAGCAGCTCATCTGTTATTTTTTCATGTCACATTATTGCCAACCACTGACCATTTCTTCGCTTTCTTAAAATATTAATCATAGTTTTTGCCATCTAAAAATACTAGTTCGTTTTCTTTAAACAGTGAGCATGAAATACAGATATGCAATTCTTTAATAAGAAAGCAGTTTAACTTTAATTAGGTAAAATGGGAAATTCGTAAAATTATTCTGCATGCATGCTCATCGACGTTGTCGACACTGTCTGCATATGGAATGCTGTATTGCCTGTTCTGTTCTCTCCTTACTTATCTGCCACGAATACCCAGCTTAATATTCGGGTTTACGCAAACACCCACAATGTATCCCACCATCAATGAGAGTAAACTGTATTTGCTTATTATTAGCTACAAAAATAATATCTTTCTAATCACATTATAAAGATAGGGGGAAATAACATTATGTATCCTTGTCATCATTAAGTTAAAAAAACTTGAATTTGACTAATGCAAAGTTTTATGTAAAAGATCTATGCCAGCTATTAAGTGGGCTGTTTCTGCTTAGCTTTAACACTGGTCAAGTGAAAGATTAGAAAAGTCGTGTAAAACATATGATTTTATTACTTTGGTCGAAACATGCATGCACATCCAGAAAAGAAACTGGCTGACACAAAATGAGTTATTTTATATATTGAATAGAAGTGTGTGGTGGAGAATATAAACATGGAGACAAAGAATTTTGTATATATAGTGTAAACTTGGTTTCAAACAGTGTTGCAAATGCAAATTTCACAAAATGATATGAAAATCATGTGACTCCGTATTCACACTGAGCTTCGTTACGGCATAAAGGAAATTTAAAAATCTCAGAACTTGCAAAAGCAGCATTGGAGAAGAAATAGTAATATTGAACATAAATATTAACCATCGCAGTTACCAGTGAACGAAATGCTAAATTATATTCGGAAAAATAAAGCTAAATGAAACTGCATAAATAATGAGATACTTAGGATCATGGATGAAATTAGAATGCATGCTTTTTGACTCGCAGAAATACCTTGCTTCACTCGCTTAACAATGCCCAAGGTTTCTGTACTGCAAGATCTACTCTTCCTTACCAGAAACCTTAGAATGGTAACGTCATCAATTCATAGTCCGTTTCAGAAAGACTACTTCTTTTGGAAAGTTTAGTTTACATATCCTGGGTAAAAATTGTAACTGTATTGGTGTTTTGTTTTTAAGAATATCAGTGTACTTATTATTGTCTATCCCTTAAAGATAATTAAAACGTTAAATTTTTTTATTCACAATCATTATTTTAAGATAAAAATATGAGAGAAAATAGTCTTTAAATTTCATTTTTTAAATTATGCTTAAAAAGCCAATAGCAGCTTTCTAGGTTTCAAAGCTGACAGAACTATAAATTTGTTAAATCATGCATATATTTATCACTTTCTATTTTATCTGGAAATCAATACATGTTTCTAAAATTGCAATGCATAGATTTAAATACTGTTCATTAACTTTGGTATTAACTTATTTTAAACCTATTATCTGCAGTTATGTATAACTGTATGGTTATATTTGTATCATATAACCAATCCTTTAGTGTAATTTTGCTTATTGTATTTTGCCAGCTAGATAACTGTTTTCTTCCTTTTTTTTCCCTTATTAGCTTCAAAACCAGATTACAATGGTTATAATTCATCAACGCCAAACAGCAACGATCCAAACGGAGGTCCGGGCACAGGGCGAACTAACTTCACAACAAAGCAGCTAACCGAATTGGAAAAGGAATTTCACTTCAACAAATATCTCACTAGAGCTAGGAGAATAGAAATTGCGACAGCTCTACATTTGAATGAGACACAAGTAAAGATTTGGTTCCAAAATAGGCGAATGAAGCAGAAAAAACGAATGAAAGAGGGTCTCATACCAACAGATCCATCGAGTTCGGGAGGTGAAACTGGTTCCTCACCGCCATCTGTCACGGGCTCTGTACCTGTGAGCTCATCCAATAGTGTTCCTCCTGCCTCTGTTGTTACAGGCGGTCCACTTACATCACCGGACAATAGTCAGTGACATAACAGAAACGCAACGGACAACATGAGTCCCTTTCCCTTCAGCCATAAATGCTCAAAAGAGATGGTAAGTTACTGCACACTCTCTCTTAACAGCTGAGTATACCGCGAATTAGTTCACCAGAAACTGATTTGAACTCTCTGGATAGTGAAGTTTACTAAAAGGAGGAAATCGAACATCTTGCTCTGAAAAGACTTGAAAAAGAGCACTTAGACCAAGTAAAGTTTCATACCGGGAACTGATTATCATTTATGTACTTAACACTTTATTAAAGAGTCAACAGTGTACGGACATGCGTGATGTGATAAGTAAAGAGTAACTTAAAACGTTACTCTCAGCATTTTTAACATATTTAATTATTAGATTTCATGTTTTAGGGAAAATGCTATTATCTCTGACAATGTGTTCATGTTTCACTTGAAACTTTCTTATTTTCCTGCTAAGATGAATATTGAACTTAAAATGTAATTTAAATAGGAAAAATACTTAAAACGTTAATAGCATTCTCGTGTTACAAAACAGGATATAGATAATGCTACAGTAAAATATCTATTCGCATAAATCAGTCTTTATGTTTTACGCTTGATGTGAATAATTAAATATTGCTTGAGGTTTTGCTGAAAACTACAAAAATATGTAACTTTACGCAAGAATTGCAAGAAATTGTAAACTGCAAGAAAATTTTATCCGAATTTCACAACCAGGATACTATTTTAGTTTGAAATTAATATTGAACAAACGTAAAAAGGAAAAATTCTCTCTGTTCCTTCTTTTTAAATGGGCAGAGTAAATGTGCTTGTTTTTCTAACAGTAGTGTCTTAGAATATTGTATCGAGTTAAATTATTGCATCAAAATATTTTTATTGATGAGGTGAACACGAACACAATTTTGGTTGAAATATTGAAATTCTGTGTTTAATGTAGGGTATCAAAATATAACAGAAAGTATTACGAAATGTCTGTGCCTTTGAATCAGAAATCTTTTGAAAAGTTTTTACTCGAATTTTAATACTTTTTGTTGCCGACAAATTATTTAAGAATCATTCCTTTCTAAGAATCCGAGAAACAACGCTTTACTTCCGTCTCAGATTCAGCCTAAACGGTAGAATTGAGCTACATTCGGTATTGAAAAAGAGAAACGAACAGGTTTCTTGCACAAGCAATTTTATTCATAAAGACATTTTGTAACTTTCTTACAGCTAAAATGAAACGGATTTTTAACGTGAGTAAATTATTTTCTTATTTCGTTAGTTAGAAACTAAATAGCAACATTTGCTCCTCTTTTCCTGCAAAAGTTTATATACGAGGCTTATAACTTTAATGTTTGCAACTATTTGTTCGAAACTGATAAGAAAGAGACACTTTTATGAAACTTTTGAAGTCCTTCGATGTAGTTAAACCCATTGCCAGTGATCTGGAAGTCCTAGTACACCCACAGCAGCCTCTGTTCAGTTGATGGTTTGAATGGGACAGTCTATTTCCTTACGAATCTCGGGAACATTTCAAAACAAATGTCACAAAATGTTTTCTTTATTTTAGGAAACAAATCATTATCACAGAGGCTTAAGCTCGAGGAATAGGTAGATAGCAGAGCATTTTCCATCCCTTATTAAGCGAACAAACCACATTCACTTTGCGTTACGTATCCAAGCCTTCTCGTGTAAAGTGGTAGGAGGATATCCCAGAAATCATGTTTTTTTTTTTTTTTTTTTTTTTTTTTTTTTTTTTTTCCCCTCCACATAGCTGTTCACGAGTCACATTAAGAAGATAAACAGTAATACTGAATATTCATTAACTGTCCTTGAGGAAAGCCATCACATTCATGCAGGAAAATCTCCATAACTTTCACACTGCTTGAGTTCTGATGAACTTTAGATTGTCGTGGTGAAGCTTCATGATACCACTTTTGGCATTTCAGTTTTGGCTCAAACATTCTAGATCATGTCCCATCTTGTTTTATGACATGGTGTAAGAAAGCTTCCCCTTTGCGCTCACAGAACTTCAAGGGAGTTTCATTAGCATATTATCGTAGGCATTTTTTGCATTTCCAAGAATTCCAATGTTACTGTTTCGAGGAGATCATAGCTAGATATTTTTAGACAGCTAGCTCACAAAAGACACTATTCTCATTGCATTTTGCAGGAATGTACGTAGATTTGTAAGTGAGAACCCTTTTCCTGTAAATTTTTTCCTTTCTTTCATTTCTGTATTAATTTTTCTGTTCCCTTACGCCTACAGCACTTCCTTACTGCAAGACTAGTTCATTTAGTATCAGGATTGGTCTTTCATGACCCACGAAAATGCATGTACCCTCATTTTTCAAAAATAGCAGAAGTAAGCTTAAAATTTTTAATTTTTTAACTATTAGTCTATGCTGAACGTAGAGGAACCTGTTGAACTGTGAAGCGATTTATCTCTGAGTTCAAGTGCGTAACGACAAAGCCCAGAGAAGGGTTAAAATACCTTTTATTCACTCAAAGAAATAATAACAGTTGGCCCCTTTTTAAACTTACAGGAAGCCTACACTTGGGCTTTAAATCAAGATAAGGAAATAAGAAACTAATCTAATTCTAAACTAAACTGACTTAGCAGAAGCTGCGCACGATTACCTAGCGTATTTGACGTTTAATTAAATTAGCCGCGACTATCAACAGACACGTACCATAAGGCCGAGCGTAGTTGATTTAATACGAAATAGCTTGGCAGCAAATATGCGCCACTAAGGATTCTTAAGCTCTCCTACTGAAGTAAGCTGAACCTTCTTTAAATATTCCTTATACCTCATTTAAATGCAACGTGATACTAAAAACTCATTCTGGTAGGGAGTTGTAAGTGGGAGGCAAAAATTTAAAGGAAGGGTTTCAAAATTAAAAATAACTGTTATAAAACTTAAATAAACTTTAAACTTTAATAAATCTTAATTTAAATAAACCTTAAAACTTTCATATTGTAAATAATGCATAATATAAAAGAAGGCATGTTCTTTTCTCAATTCCTAATGCTTTATCAAAATGTTTGCCGTTCAGTGGGCATGCATCTTTGTATTGATGTTAAAGGACAAAACTCAAAGTACGGCTGCCCTATTATTCGTGTAAAATTTCAAAAAAAAAAAAAAAAAAAAAAAAAAACATTTGTTAGTATTATAAAAGCTAAACAAACTTACATAATGATATTTGTCATTTTCTCATTGCAATTATCCAAACGTTTGATATTTTTTACATAGCAGAAAGTTCATATACCAAATGTTTAAAAAATTAGCAATCACCACATAGATTCTTTACTTCTTAAGTATTTGGAGTCACAATTATTTCTGGGAGAAATATAAATCAGTTCAGGATTCAAAATTAAATCAGAGTTAAAAATTAAAGCGTCATAAAATTAAAAAAAAATCAAATATTGGTACTAAATATGGTTATTAAATTTGGTTATTTTGATTATTAAATTATGTAAATTAATAGCATTATTAAGAGGACATAATGCTTCAATAAAAGACATGAAGAGAATAAATAGCAGGATGCTTCAATAAATAACATGAAATATATAACTTTTAAGAGATTCCAGAAAAGAAAATTTTATAGTCTAAAATAGTTTTATTATTGAAGAAGGCAATCCTTATTTTCTAATAAGTGTTTTGCGAAGTTATCTTAAACATTCAGTATTTTCAAGTGGAACATGAGCATATGTAAAGTGAAAAAAAAAAAAAAAAAATCACAGCTGTTTCAAAATTTCTGAGGGTTAAGATCGCATGTATTTCATCTTGTCGTAAAAACGATCATGTATTAAAAACTGTGAATAAGTCCTTTATTTTAATAAAGAAGAAATCTTTTTAGAAGTTTTAAGTTTAACGGAAATGTCTTTCATGGGAAGAAAAAAAGCAGCAAATGTAAAGAATTAGTTTAATTCCGAAGAAAGTGCACTATTTATGGGAAAAAGACAGCTGAAGAAACTGCTTGTAAAATTACAGAATATAAAAGTATATTTATGTACAAATTGTTCTGAATGTTTTAAGCTTTTGTGTTACATTATGTGCAACAGAAATTCATATCAAAAGTTAATATTTTGGCAAGAAATGCGAGAAACGTTTCCTTTCTGAAATATAGTTATTGCGATTCCAATAGTTCAGTAACATTTGCTCTTTTTTCAGTTAATGTCATCTAAAAATTTGAATTATTACCTCGAAAGGTATGGAATTGTAAAATATTATCTGTTTTGTCATTGTTAAGTTTTCAGTAACGCTTGACATGTTATTACTTGCGAATGTATTACCTGAGAGTATGTGTCCAAATAAAAAAAAATGGCGAAACAGAAAAGATGAAAAAAAAAAAGTTATGTATGTGTCTCCTCATATTATTCACAAGTCCCCTGTTAACATAGTAATTTTTATTTTTATTGTTATTTTATTGCTTATTATTGCTTGCTTTGAATATATTTCGTGGTCGAAAAGCAATATTTTATTTATTGTGAAAAAAAATTTGAAATTTAAAGAGAAAATTTTTGATTGCATAATCTAGAAACGATATAAAAATTGATAAAATAAATAAAAACTAGCATTTTTATTGAGAGGTAAACTTTTGCGCTTTGCTATAAAAATTTCTCACATATATTAGGCTCCTTTAAGCGCTCTCAACAATAGAAGGATTTTAATTTAAATATGCAAGTATTTGTAAATTTAGATACAAATGCTTAAGTTTTATAATATTTGTGACTTCTTGGAAACATATCAAGGAATTTTTGACGCACTTAGGAAACATTACACATGGAAATTCAATAAACTTTTATTACTTACGTGTTGCTTTCAGTAACAGTTACTTTAAAGAAATGGTTTTTTTTATGTTGAATGAATCATATAATTATAAAAGTATATAAATATTTCTTAGAAATAGCTTTAGTAAGTATTTAATACTTTGTCAAAGTTTTATTTTTTTTTTTTTTTTTTTGCAATTTTTTTAAAAGTAAGAAGGCTGATAAAAGCTTAATTTATATTTTTAACTGTTTTATTTTAGATTTCTAATAGATTTACAAACCTGTATTTTATGAACAAAACGAATCAAAAAAATAAAATTGCGAAATTTATTGTAAAGATGTAGTTATTAAACATCATAAATTTATTATAATTTCGATTATGATATATATATATATATAAATCAAATTTTAAGGCGTTATATAATAATAGATACTAATATTCAAAATAATAAATTGTAGTTTCAAAGATATGAAATCGCTACTTCTTTATCATGTTGTGAGAGAACATTATACAGAGCATTTGAAAATATACTGTGCCCTTGCACAGATTCGAATACGAGATCCCATATTAACCGCATTGACATGTTAAATGATGCGTAAGAGCTCGTGAAGGGATAAATGCCTTTAATATCTTACATTATCTTCACCTACATTTCTCTGCATTAGTTATTTTGTATCTTCTTCTGAAGTATATTCTTTATCATATGAAATCAGAAGATTAAGTACACACTAAAAATTAATAATAACTGGCTTAGAACTTTGATAGGCGTTATGATGTAAGGTTATGTTATTAATCAGTAAATAAAACTTACAACCTGGGGAAGAAAAAAAAACAACCCTTGCCCATAATAACATTTCTTAATGAGAAATTCTTCTTTTTTTTTTTCCAGTTTGAGAATGGCGTTTGAAGCAATACTTTAGTCATTTGGAGTCAGTTTCTAAATTCATCCCCAAAATCAATCAAAATAGCTTATAGCTCAAGAACACAGAATAGTCAACGAATTAATTCATTTCCGAAAGATGAAAATAAGTTTCAAGTCACTTTATTATGTCCCTGATACTTAAAAAGTAAATTTTAAATATTTCTGCTTAAAATAGTCACATAAAATATTAAAGTCCTTTTACATTTTCCATCAAATTCTGAAATATGCAGTAAATATAATTTAAAAAGAATCTCTGGTTCGCCATTTTTTTTGTTTTGCTTACTAATTATTATGCTAAAGATTTTCTTGTCTCTGTGTTAGCAAGATGATTATCTTGTTTTAGGGCGTTGAACTTACGTTCAAGTATTATGAAACCGAATTATGTATATAGTTTACCTTTTTTAACTTTGTAAATACATTTTTTACAAATTTTTGTTTGAAATTAAAGTGGCTGATAAGGTATTCATAAAGTTATAAATATTAAACATATTTAGGTTTGAAACAGAAGATTTTAATCAAAACTGAATGAAAATAATATTGTATATACACAAATCAAATTATATTTTATATTATCTAATGTTTTATCCCAAAATGGAAGGGCTTCTAGAAATTTCCTATTGTTGAATTAAACACCTGTCGGCCACTTTAAAACATTTCTCAAAACTTAAATTATTAAATACGTTGATTAGTCACTATTTGTACACTTTACCAAATATGTCTTTGAATTTATGTGTGAATTATACCTGTATAGCTATTTAATGTTTTACTCTGTGTCAAAATTTGTTTGGATTTTTCTATATTCTGATGTTAGAGTAGATGGGCATTGAAAGGCGAGAATGGAAATACATTTACTTCTGTCCCAAATTATTTTCTTGTGTCTACCATACAGGCAAACAAAGGCATCTGCATTTTAATAAAAGTATAACTAAATTATTCAATGAATAGTTTAAGATATTTTAGTGAAAAAAAAACTCTTTAATTTAAAAAAAAACTCTTTAAGCGCAAAATTTAAGTCAAATAGCTTTATTTAACTTGTATTTTATATTAAATATATATATTTTTTAAACTTACGTCGGCTTCATTTCGTGTGAATGTTCTTTTATTTATTTGACGCTAAGCAGATTAAAATGAATTTTATGCTATTCTTCGGTCATATTAAATTACTGGTGGAGAAAGTGTTCCAACTCAAAAATCCATAATCAGTTATGATCTGTTATCGCAGGTTATTTTCTCGCATTAAATCAAGACGCATAATATTGTAAAACTCTTTATTTCTTTACTGATAGATTTCAATCAACTGACTAAAATTAGGTAAAATAGCAAACTTAGTTTGGCGTAGATTTTGAATAAAATTCTATCGATTTCGTAGGCCGACAGACATAGGTCTATGGCTCACAGGTCCTTTTTCTTCAGGAACAAAAAAAAAATTTCAAAATGGATACTTGGATATTTAGATTTATATTGGTCTTCAGCTACTTCTTTTAAGTAGCTTTTTCCAGTCGTCTCTCCTCCTATTTTGTATAAAGGTTTAGCTCCTGAAGAAAACGGACCTTTTTCTGTTCAGCCTCGAAATCGATAGATTTTTACTACTCCAAATTAAAGTTTAAGTTTTGTCCAGTTTGATTAACTTGTCTATGCCTCGAATGCTATATGCTTCCCTATTTTTATTTCTTATTAAACATCATACAATCTGTTCACATGACTTTACTCGGAGAATCTTATTTAATGACAAATACTTTAAGACAATTAAAGGCAAGTTGTAATCAGATTAATTCAATAAATTAAAGAAACAGCTTAAGTTAAAATATAAAATTATTCAATGCAGATTTGTAGACCAGTACAATATTCAAAATTGTAAATGGAGACTTAAAATTAGTTAATGTGAGGTACCATCATATGAATGAAGCAGTAGAAACTACTTTATCATTTTTAAAACTAGGATGTAGATGCCTTAGTTTATTGCCTTGGTTACTTTTACTGCTTAAATATACCACGACACATATGCACATCACATTTGCATTAAACTACATAATGAATAAAAACATGTAGCACATTTTTCCTTATTCATGTGTGTCAAGAAAAAGATATCAATGTACTTTAATCTCATATTTGCGTAAGCAACAGTTGCCAGTGTTTTATTGTAAAATAATTAGTATGTAAATGTTTTTAATTCCAGCTGCTACCCTGTATTACTAAAAGTATTTCTATTCCCTCCATACTTGTCATAACGCCATCGTAACAGCCTTATGCCATAGATTATCATACTGGTATTTTCATGAGAAATAAAGACCGTTGCAATTGTTTCGTTAATTATTTTTTTTTCTTTCAAAACCACACATTTTACACACTAAAGGGAAAAAATAGTCGTTCTTTGTGAATAAATTCAAGTAACTGCATAAGCATCATTAAGCGTACGTTCGTACAAATAATAGGTAGGTTCTTTGACAAATATAAAATATCAAACGATTAGTATGAAATACAAAGTCTCTAGAATCTTTTATTTAACATATGCAGGTAAACATAAAGAGCAAAGTTAAAAAATATATGTATCAAAAACTTCGAACATTTAAGTTTTATGTAATTTTGGGGAATTCAGATCGGAAGTTAATAGAAAGAGCTAACCAGAACTCTGAACCAAAAGAAAGACCTAAAGATTTTCTAAATGAAATTTTTGGAAAATAATTCATGTATTTCAGAATTCTGCACTTTACCATCATAAAAATTAGCTTCACGTATGTGATATATTAAATATACTAATTAAGCGTAAAATTTTTAACTTGCAAAGCACGCAACAGCCATCCAATGCTGTCACATTCTTTCTTTAAGGTGTGTAATTATGTCAATAGTCTGAACTGATTCTTTAGATGCATAAGGTTAAAATAAAATCGAGTATCACAGCGAACTAGAAATGTTAAACTTCAAATCTATCTTTACACAGAAATATATTAGATTATGTGAATTTTATATTAATTATGTGTATGTCTTAGCTTTTCTTTTTCGATACAAAAAGTAATAAGTGCGTTCTTTTTTCAGACACAAAGAGTTCTTTTGCGAGAATTTTTTTTATGCATCTCAATGTATTTTAAATTTTGATAGTGTAATCTTTATGATCGAGTCTTTCAATGGTAAAGTAATTAAATTCGTTGACTATCAAATCATAAAAGTTTAAAGTTTTTTACTTATAAGAAGAATATACTTCGATTTTATGAATAAAATCAAGCAATGAAATTTTAACATTTTATATAACTTGATCTTATTACTGAAACAGATAGTGTTTCCCAAACTTCGCAAACGAAAATAGCATAATATTAAAAATAATAAATAATAGTTTCAAAATAATATAGTTTTAATATATATCAAATTGACTATATGAATAAGTGTTAGGAAAAGGAGCATAAAAAAGTGCACGTGTAAAACCTTAATAAAAGTATGACGAAACGCACTTATAGCATATACACATACGATGTGACAAGAGATTTCGCAAATTTGAAAAGAGGAATCTATTTCAGTTGCTACTTGAAAGCAAATAGTACTTAGAAGTCTTGTTTCAGATAAGTTCTTACTCAATTACCGATATGTTGAAAAATAATTTTTTGGAGAGACGCCAAAACAATTCGGAAATGTTTCGATTTTCTTTATTATTTGGTAAGGGAAGTGTGTAAGTAAATTTACAGACGTAATTCGTCATTTAGCAGTATACAATCTGATCAGGCAGACAGTTTAGCTAGTGAATACAGATTCAGCAGCATACTAAAGGGCTACTAAAAGGCCTGATCCTTTAAACTAATATCTCGCCTTTGCATTATGTATTAAGAAATTAAATGCACTATATAAGGTTTTTGCTAAATGAAGCCAGATAAAAATCGAAAGAATATTCTTAAGATCATGATATGTTCGACTGTGGAATATTTTCCTTTAATATTATCTTGAGATTATTTGATCTCGAGTATTAAAGATTTCTGGTCTGCTTCCAGCTTGACAAAGCACATCGGCATTCCTATCGAAGACCTCCTTTAGCTATCATGTATTTTACAAAAAAATCTGATGTGTGCACCACATGACTTCCTTGTACGAAATATTAAATTATACGCATTTTTTTCTTGCATTTCATTTAAACTTATTGGATTGAATTAAATCTACTTCATCGATAGCTCATAAACCACAACAGAATAAATATTACAATTCACTGTATTTGTTTACCATAGCGACACTCTGGCTCTAGGCTCACTTAACAGAGCTACATTTCAATCATTTTTTAACTCAGAATGCACAAAATTTATATCATCTTAAGAATTATCTAATCGTTGCCACATGTTCTATTCAAATACTATAATAAATCGAAAACGATGTATAAAAGAAATTAATCAAAGAACAACAGCAAAAAACACAACAACAACAACAAAAAAGAAACAGTTTTTCACAGACGATTCAGTATTTCTCAATCAATTAATTCAGTTCTCACTTCGCGACAAGGCAAAAATACATAAAACTCAAAATGTCTGTATTGAAAATTATGAAGTAAATCTTAAACACTTATTTCCTGGAATAAATTCCAGAGTGGATTAAGCATGATTTAATTTGCAATAATAAAAGAAGGCGTTATCTTTGTTATTGTGAAGCTTACTTTCTCTAGATTGGCAACAAATCTACTATTCTGTTGCTTCAAATGTAAACAAGCAATGGCCGACATGGCAAAAATTATTAGGCTTAGCCGCACTTAAACAACTTTTAAATTGTTGATAATTCTAAAACTATTGCAAACAGATTTACTAAAGGCATAAAAACCTTAACCGGAAGATAAGAACAGCATAATTCAATCATTTTTAAAGCAAAAAATGCACAATTTATAAACACATAAGAATAAAGAAACTGAGATCACTGAACTGAGTAACAGAATATACTTTTGGTGCGGCCGATTGCAACCAAAATACGAGGCGCACATATACATGTTATAGTAATCCTATATACAAACTTTCTACGTTCTGAGGCTACTCGTTTTTGAGATACATACGTACGTACGTACGTACGCACAGACGCCACGAAAAATTTTCTTCAGAATTCATTTTAAATTAGTTTTACAATTTTTGGGGGGGGGGAAAGAGTCCTTTATTCTGTCCTTACGAACAGATTTCAAGCAAAAACATCGATAATTGCATTCGATAGCGGGTTATAGTAATCCTATATACAAACTTCTACGTTCTGGAGGGCTACCTCTTTTTTGAGATACTACGTACGTAACGGCGACGCAACAGACGCCACGAAAATTTTTCTTCAGAATTCATTTATTAGTTTACAATTTTTGGGGGGGAAAGAGTCCATTAGAAGATAAAAAATATAAAATCTTCCTTACGAACAGATTTCCAAGCTGTTTGCAAAAGAATGTATTCGATAATTGCTTGATCTATTATGCAATGAAATTCATATTGTGGACCGATGCCGTTATGAAACACCGCGATGAGCATGTTCCTTTTTACTTCGTACAAGGAAGTAAAAAAAAAAAAAATGCCCTATCATTAAAACATTTTACATTTTATTTCACTTTTTATATGTTACATTAATAGGTAAAACTCGAATAATAATGTCTTTTCGTTTCAGTCTACTGCTTTAAGCAATTTAATTTCGTGAAAAATTATCGCATTTAGTTACATGCTTAAACTGGCCAGCCAAATAATTCAGAGATTGTACTCGCTTCGGCAGTACATATACTAAAATAATCCAGAGATTATGGTCCACAATTAAATCACGGGTGTTCATTATTAAATATTACATAAAATTGTTAAATGTTAAAGCTCCATGAAGACAATGGCTTCCACACATACGATGCAGAAATGATAGGCAAAAGTTAACAAAGTTAAATCAGCTGTCTGTATATTTTTAGATGTTTAAAAGCAGTGGTAATTTGTGTTAGTTAGTTTCTGTTACTTCTAATTTTGAAAATATATCTTAGCTTCAGCTTTGATTTAAGCAATTATTTTCTATCTGCAAAAATTGCTGCAAGTTGTAAAAATATTTTTGGAAAATTTTGTTAAATAGGAGTCAAAAATATTTCTTCCAGACCAAAACATTTTGTTTGTTGAAATTACGCTATTTAATTTACTGCACATTATTCCACAAAATGATAAGATACATTAAATAAAATAGTAGCATTTTCGTAAAACTCGAAACATTCCTTGCGAAAAATCTTTATCGAAAAAGCACTCCGCATTTCCTGCAATTTTGAATAGTACACTATTACAATAAATAAATTCGCTGGTTCGATTCTTTATTAATTCTCATAATTAATTACAATCACTCATTAACTCATAGCTGTGACCAGCCCTCTTACACCGTCGATGGCGATTCTCAAACTCGTTGATCATCACATTACAGATGCGCATGCGTGGATTACATTACAGATGCGCAGGCGCGAACATGCCGCCCCGCGTTGCAATGCTTAGCATTCAACTATTGTAATTAAGATATAGCATAAAAAATTAAACAAGTATATCATAAACAATTTTGAATAAGTACTATTACATAAAAATCATTATTATAATTAGACATTTACCATATACATTAGCGTACAACTCAAAGCAATACAATATAACATTTCAGTTACATAATGACATTTTATGTGAAAGCACATTCAATACTGTACAATAACTATAAAGACAATACTCATTTTTGTATTGGTAAGACACATAATTTGGTAATTGGTCGTTTGAAAGTTCCAGTTTGAGTTTTTACATTACACACGCGAACCTTTCCATCTTTACCATAAAATACTTCTATTATACGACCAACCGCCCAATTACAACAAGGCAAATTATCTTTAATTAAGACCATGTCTCCAACTTGTATATTGTTTTTAGAACTTTGCCATTTAGATCGATTTTGTAAATGACTTAAATAATTGGAGTTCCATTTTTTCCAGATAATTTGTACTAATCTTGTGATCTGTTGCCACAATTTTAACCTGTTAATGTTAACTTCCGTGATATCTGGCTCAGGGATCGAATTAATTGCTCTACCAATTAAAAAATGCCCAGGTGTTAGAACCTCTAAATCATCAATGTCCGAAGACAAGGGTGTCAATGGTCGGGAATTTAAAATTCCTTCAATCTGAATCATAATTGTTAAAAATTTGTTCAAATGTCAAAATTTTTGCATTTGCTCACCACTAAAAATTCGTAGCGTTATCACTAAATAGTGTTTAAACTTTTACCTCTTCGTGCAAAGAAACGTTTCAAGGTAGCTATTAATGCTTCAGATGTTAGGTCTGTTATCAGCTCTAAATGAATGGCCTTAGTAACCATACAAATGAATATACA